TTGTTTCCTCCTAAGCCTGTGTGAAGTTACTATATTCTTTCTCAATACTTCTGCAGGCAGCTACTATTATCAATTATTAGATTTGTTTTGCTACCATTGATTTAAGAGGAGATAAGAACTAAATATCATGTGTAAAGTCTTTTTAAAGCACTGCCTCCTTCAATCTAGCCATTTGGAACTACCCTCCAAGTGCATGGGTCTCAAGTACGCTAGATATAAGTTCCTTTTTGCCTTGCCTCACCTCTTTCTCCTGGAATGGCCAAGTAATTGTTATTATAATGATAATGACTATGCTGTTTGCAGATGACCCATCCCACGACATGTATTAAGGTAGGAGTAGGAATGGCCTCATTCCTAAGAGGAACATTCCATGACTTGTAAGAATCCAAGGAGTCAATGCATCCTAAGGAGAAAGCCTAGAAATAGAAAGGCATTTTTAGCTCAGTACAGTGCTATGCAAAATTAGTTCCAAAAATGGGTTAAAAAGAAATCAAGTACATTTGCAAATATATTATTTTTACCATTCCAGGATACTGAAGCTTTTCATTTGAATTCCTCTGCCTTAGTCACAGGAAACTAGAGGGAAGGTAAGATTGTTAGCCAACAGATGCCTGGAATACCCTATGGAAAGATCTTTCTTCTACATAATACTGGTTTTCAGCAATAAACTCACATTCCAAAATTGCTTCTCTAAAAAAAACAGATTTCATACATACAAATTATGACTTACAGTTTTGACATTAAACCTAACATAGAAGCAATCCGAATTCATATGAGCTTCTTAACTTTATTAGAAGAAGGTCAAAATAACCATGGTAGATATCTGAACAGCAACAAATAATTAGAGGTGGTGTGCCCTGTACTGGCAGGCACTAGGGATGGTAATGAGCAGGACCACACACTTACTGCCTTCGCAGAGCTTAGCAATACTAATGGCAGTTGTCAGACCCCTTTCCCCTTTATGTTACATAATATCACATAAAACTGGCAATCTTCCTAATCTTTAGAGAGAGGGGAATTAAAATATATCCACCCCGTTTTGTAGACAGTGTAATGGAGATTGAGAATATTAATTATTTTTCCTGTGCCACAGAAAAAATGTCATGACAAACTCCTGAGTTGCACACTTGGGCCACTTTGTATTTTCAGGGTCTTCTGCACAATCTCTATTTTCAACTTTGTTCTAGTCTACAAGAATATTTCACCTTTATGGGTATTGACTTTATTCTATAATCTGAACTACTATTTCAATAGATAAGACTTAAAAGAGGCCTTACAGCATGTTTTAAACAGACCCTGGCTCAAGTTAAGAACCTTTATTTCCAAGGAAACAAAACACCATTGTAGGAAATAATTTTTCTCAGATATAATTATTGGTACTATACCTTCATTCACAGCAGCATTTGTCACAATAGCCAAAAGCTGAAAGCAACCCAAATGTCATATATATATATATATATATATAATGAAATATTATTCAGCCTTTAAAAGGAAATACTGATACATGTTACTGCATGGATGAAGCTTGAGGATATTATGCTAAGTGAAATAAGTGACTAACAAAAAGTCAAATACTATATGATTTCACTTATGTGAGGTATCTAGAGTACAAATTCACAGGACAAAAAAATAGCATGGTGGTTGCCAAGGGCTATGGAAAGGGGAAAATGAAGAGTTGTTCAATGGGTACCGAGTTTCAGTTTTGCAAGATGGAAAAGCTCTAGGGATTGGTTGCTCAACAATTGTAAATATACTTAAGACTAGTGAACTGTATACTTAGAAATGGTTAACACTGCAAGTATTATGTTATGTGTATTTTACCACACATTTTAAAAAGCGAAAAAAAATACTCGTACTTACCTCATTATGGCAAAATTTTAATTTTTAAAAATATTTTCCTTATGGCTTCTGTAACTGATAGTGACAGGGTCTCTTGGCACTAGTAAGGGAAATCAAAGAATTTTCTGTGATATTTTTGTCAATCAGTAGGAAATTTCTAAAAATGCTTTTAATGCCATTGACCATAGGCTTTGAATTATTTTTAAAAATGAAAAATTTTTACTCTTGTTCTAAAAATTACATTTACACAAAGAGGTAGATGTCTTCCTATGAGACTGGAGCTAACACTGCTATATTTTTGTTTTCTTAAGTATTCAGAGGCAGAATAAGCTCACATCATTCCAACTATCTAATGAGTTTACACACTTGAAACCAGAACATACACTCCATGAAGCAAAACCTCTGAATGCATTAGCAATTTGCACATGTTCAATTTCTAGACTTTGAAATCTCTTTTGCTTTATCCACCATCACAACTCCTTTTTACATTAAAAGTTCA